AAGTTGGACGCTTAACCGACTGCGCCACCCAGGCGCCCCCCAGAGAAATTCTTTAAGCTACCCCTACTTTATTTTACCTTAGGTTTACCCCTCTAATTAATGCATCATAAAGTTTTGTGGTGGTGTATTTTAATTAAACATTTTGATGTACTACCATTTATAACATATCAGTAGTCAATAAAGGAATGAAATTATTTTATTTTTTATTTTTATTGCATTACTTTATTTTATTTACATTAAGTATTCTAAGCAGGCAGTGTTGTGTTAGGCATTTTTCACTTCACCCTACTTTTATTCTTGCCCTATGGTTATTTTGTGATTTCATTTATGACTATTCTTTCCTGGGGAAATTTTTTAAAAAATGAATTAAAATGACATTTGAGAGAAAGAGTTGAAGCTCATCAGAAATGTTTATGGAACAGATAAATTGATTTCATTGCTTTTTGCCAGCCTTTGTTTAGAAGTGTTATTGGTACTTGAATACAATAGTTCTTTAGACAGGCTAATCTATCTAAAATATACTCATTTATCTTGTACCTAATAGCTGCTTGTAACTGAGCACTTACTGTGTGTTTCACCCACATACATTTTCACATATAATTCTAAAAACATCCCTGTGGGGTATATTATATGCTGTCATACCATTATTTTATAGAATTGCAAACTGAGACTCAAATAATTTCAATCATCTGCCTAACTCCGAAGCCCACCCTCCTAACCCCTAAACTTCATTGCAGTTTCTTCTAGTTAGAAGGATATCTGACTTTCCTGTTCGGTGTGTTCATTGAGAAAGCCCATCAATTATGTCTGCCCCCTGAATTGTTCCGTACAACAGCCATCCTGTCTTTTCTCTTACTCCTTCCACTAGCTTAAGCTTTTGCCATTTTTTGTTTGTTTGTTTGTTTAACTTGTTCCTGGTCCAAATAAGTGTCTGGTTGCAAAGGACTGAGTTCTCTGGAACAGAAAGTATTTTTTTTCAGTCTAACAATTTCCTCTGAGCCCTAGAAATTTTTCTGGTCCTCTGCTACTGAGAAAAAAGTGTGTGTGTGTGTGTGTGTGTGTGTGTGTGTGTGTGTGTGTGTGTGTGTGTGTTTAATTTTATTAATTTCCATTGTAGTTCATTATAGGCGTTATCCCTGCCTTTTACCAACAGAAAAGAAAACATCTGTGAAATAAGGCAGAACAGGAGTTACTATAAAAATATATTATGTATAGATTAGCCAAATAAAATAAAAATGAACCATCTCCCTGTTTTCACAGGGCACAGACAGAACGAGAATGCTATTCTGGTCACATATCGAGCCTCACGTACACTGATTCTTTGGATATCTAGAAAGTACAGCTGTACCAGTTTTATTTTCATCTACTGCTCTTTGTTGAAGAGAGCAGTTTCTCTTTGGCAGCAAAATCATAGGAAAAAAAAATTAAGTTTAGGCTCCTAAAAAATAATTGATAGGAACATAAAAATACTTGCAATCTGTGTCTGGGTTTCCATATGAAAGGATGTTTAGGATCTAATCAAATCATATACTTGCAATAAGATTTGTATACATTTGAAATTGCAAGTACTATCTTACTGTAGTAAGAATGAAATATTGAATTTTTTTTCGGAAAGAGATCATAGCACTTTGAGAAAGAGAAGTTGATAGTTTTTTCCCTTAGCATTTTAACAACACAATCTTCACTGTTTTCTTTAAATAAATATCACAATAACTTCTTATGTGCGTGCTAATGAGACTCTATGCTAAGACTTAACACTTGCTTGAAAATAAGAAATGGCTGTAACAGTTCTTTCCAGATTAATTTCATGTATTACAGAAATGATCAGACCTCCACTTGGGGTCTCTCAGCAGATGGAGGAGTAAGCCTGGACACGCCTAACCAATGACCATGGGACAGACCCACAAAACGCATCTGACATCAGAAAGGACTTGAGGGAAACAAAGGGCTGTTGTATAGAGTGTGGAAATTGTTCTAATGAGCCATTTCTTCTATCGGCAGAAATTCCTTTTTGAAACTGCTCTCAGCTCTAATTCTTGAGATTCATTCCCCTTTTCCTTTCTTCAGCTCCCTCTCTTCCCTGCAAGCCACTCCCCACTCACTTTAAACAGTGCTGCTTATAAAAACAAAGCAAAACAAAACAAGGAAATACCCCTGCATACTATCAGATAGTCAACAATTAGAAGCCCTTATAGTGCCCACCACAAGGCTGTGGAGAGTAGGAGATGGGCACTGCTGGTGGGAGGGTATATTGCACTACTTCCAAAGAGCAATTTGGCAACACCTAGTATTATCAGATGAGCATAGCACAGAGGCTCAGCACCTCTGTCTCTGGATGTGTACTGTAAAAAGAGTCTCTGGCATGCAGAAGGGGATCTAATCAAGAATGTTATGTGACCATTGTTTGTAATAACCCCTCTCCCCAGAGAATTGGTAAATACTTATCAACAAGGGAATGAATAAATACCTTCTGGTAGAGTCATTCAGTGGAATATTCTAGAGCACTCAAATGAATTAACTAGAGTCTTATGTGTCACTATCAATATATCTCAGAAACGGTGTGGAGAGAAAAAAAACAAATCACAGAAGCGTATGTGCGGTATGATACCATCCATACAAAATCTAATCACGTGCAAGGCAGTGCTTTCATACGTCTTTGCGGTTTGAAGGATAGATGTGCACATGGGAATTACAAACAACAAATTCAGAATAGTTATCTCTTTGGGAGATAGGAATAGAATAGGACTGGGGGGAAAGACAAGTCTTCACATTTATCTGCAATTTTTGATTTCTAAGTCTAGGTGGTATATACATGAGTGTGTGATAATTTCTATGCTTTTTTTATAGTTGAAATATCTCACAATCGTTTTCTTAAGGAAGAAGTTTGCGGTACTTTGTATCTTTCTGGATAATTTACATATATTTTGGGCATTTAAATCCCCAAATAGTGTTTAATTTCTTTCTGCTTGCATTCTAACTGTGATTAAAAAGGCTCAGATGCATTTGGACCTTTCTTTCTGCACTAAGATAGGCTTTATTCCCACTACCTATTACGGAATAAATGTTTCTCTAGAGATTGAAATGCATATCAGTTAGTAGTGACACAGCTTATGTTGAAAAGTAATGATTATGTGAGATTATTCCCTTTTCAAGAAATTTAGTTGTATTTTTCTTTTTAATCATTGCTTGAAAAGTTATTTCATTTTAACAATACACAGTTCCTCACAAAATTAAAAATAGAATTACCAGGGGCACCTGGGTGGCTCAGTCGGTTGAGCATTTGACTTCAGCTCAGGTCATGATCTCACAGGGTTGGAGTTCGAGCCCGGCATCGGGCTCTCTGCTGTTAGTGCAGTACCAGCTTCAGATCCTCAGTCTCCCTCCCTCTCTGCCCCTACCCTGCTTGTGCTGTCTCCCTCTCCTTCTCTCTCTTTCTCAAAAATAAATTAACCTTTAAAAAGTAAATAAATAAAAAATAAAAATGAATTACCATATGATCCGACAATTTC